TGGCGCGACACTGAGGGTTGCGGTCCATTGCCGGACACGAAAAAAGAGACAAAAAGGAAAAAAAAAAAAAAGAAGAAAAAACTGATATCAACATATCTAACTGCCAACTAGACAGCTCTGCCAGATGTCCTACAAGAATCTCAAACTCATTTTCTCTCAACCCGAGTTAATTAATCTCCCAATTTATTAGTTCTATTTGTGAATACACAATTACAATTCAAGTGAAGGCAATAAAATACAAAACATAAGAAGTACTTTAAAGCATTTCTTGAAGGGTTAAAAAAAAAAAAAAAGAATAAATTGAAGGCTTTTTCCCCCAGTTACAAAGGTTAACTCACATTCACTAGCAAAAACTACAAAATACAAAAAAGATGATAAAAAGCAAATCTCTTCAAATCTCAGCTCTCGAAGGCATGCAATATTAACATTTCCTTCCAGAAAAAGCAAATTTTAACATGATGAAATCATACACATCAAAATATTAATTTGGTAAATAGGGTTTTGTTGTTGTTAATTCTCAATATTTTCCAGGCTATTTTTTACTATTAATCAGGAAAAACACAACTCTATTATCTGCCTACTTGGAATGAGAATCAAAACAATAATTTAATTCCAAAAGCAATCCTTCTACATGCTGTGTTTTAACTATTCTAAAGGAATCAGTTTTCGGCTTGGCATCTACCTTGTCTATGCCTGAACGTCTATCACTGTGCAATTACCCCACAATTCATCCCCAGTATCTTCCTATACTTAAAGGAAACCAGAGCAAAGAAAAAAGAAAAAAAAAAAAAACTAGAAGAGGTAGAAGTCAAATTTAAAATCTAGTTGGGTAGATTGTGGTTTGCAAAACACCATAGGAAAGTGACATTTTAACACTCTTTCGCCGATTCACAAACTTTTAAAAACATCACAGATTAAAAGCCCTCGGCTAACCTGTTCTCATCACACCTCGCCAGGGAAAGGAAACTCTCTTCTTTCCCCAAAGTCCGAGCGCAGCTGGAGCCCGTCGCTGGCGAGCCTGGGGCGGGGAGCGGGGCGCGCGCCCGTCCTCACCGGGGCTGGGGTCCCCGTCCTGCGGCCGGGGGTCCCACCGAGCCGACCCGCCCACTCCCGCTCCACAGGGGTAGTCTCTGCCCTCCAGGCCACCGCGATGGCGGCGGTCCCAGTGCCTAACCTCCCTCGAGCGTCGGAGAAGCAAGCGTCGCTGAAGAGACGCGGGAACTGCCCGGACCCCCCAATCACCGCGACATTAAAAAAAAAAAAAAGTTAAAGACAAAGCCCGGTACTGAACAGTCGCTCCACAGCCGGCCCCGCGGGGCTGGGGCTGAGGGGGTCCCCCGCTGAGGCACGGGCCGCTCCCACACGCTCCCCCCCACAACACCCGCGACCCGACCCGGGCGGACGACGGTGGCGGCTCGAGGCCCGCTCGGGCCGCACGCCGGGAGAAGCGCACCTGGGCCGCGCCCGCTCCTTC